CAAAATGAGATTCGCAAGGGTGCATCTTTAGGTGAGCAGCATTTCTGCTGATAGGGTACCAAAAATATATAGATTGCATTTAAAATGAAAAACTTTGTAGCGCATTTATCTCATTCACTAATGTTAATTTGATAGAATAACTTACATTATCACGCTGTGATAAACAGATGTAATATCCTGACAACATGCTGGCTAATGTTAAAACAGCAAGATAAAAACGGGTAACAATGGCAACCAGCGACATTTGACATTTCAAAAGCCGGCTGTCTCTTTCAGCAGTCAAACTGCGTGCCCATGCACTGTGATCACAAACAAGTGATCCCTCTATAAATGTGTAGCCATAAAGCAGACTGTTGAGACAGATTATTCTGCAATTGACAAACTGTAAACACTTTGGACTGTGCTTCAGTATTAAAGTCACGGTAGCTGTCCTGTGTCTGGCCTCGCTCTCTAAGTGTCAGTGTGTGTTGTGGCCATTTATGCATATTTTGTGAATTGTAATTTCTACTACCGTGTTTTCCGGACTATAAACCGCTACTTTTTTCCTAAGGTTTGAACCATGCAGCTCGTAGCCCAGTGCGGCTTATATGTGGATTTTTCTTCAACCACCAGGGGGCTCTTTAGCAGGAAGTAAATCATTGGAAGTCAAATTGGAAATAAAAGAAGAAAGCACCCATTAAAACGGAATTAGGTTTTAATAGGGAATTGAAATTTGAGAATATTGTTGATCAGTTAAATAGCATTGAGGGCAAAAAGAAGATTTTTTGTTTTTTAAATCAAACTAGGATCATTATGAGAATTTGAGGCATAGATATTAGAATCTAGTAGAAGGCAGTAGTGCAACAATAATGGAAATAATGGATGCAAGCTGCTGTTGAAATCTAAAAAAGAAGCAAAGGAAGAAGAAGAAGAAAGCGCCCATTTTCATTTAGCACATGCTAGCAGACACGAAGGATCAGCACTTCTACTCTTACTGTTACCGTTTGGAAACTACCGTAATCAGTTCAATTAAGTCTAAACTTGGCAACTTTTTCTTTTTCAACCATAATAAATGTGATATTAAATTTACCAGTTATGACTCAAAGTTTGGGTGTCCGCCCCCCCTCTGCTGCTACTGCATCATTGTGGAAAACCTGGAGCGGCAGGTTTTCCACAATAATCTGCGGCTTATATGTGTATGTTTACCGTTTTTTGTTTTTTTTTAACTTTGGCATTGCGACTTATAGTCCGGAAAATACGGTAATTTAGTTTCTATTTTGGGAAATTATAATTTATTTAAGTTAGTTTAGCTCCAAAATCTGTAATTAACTTGTATATTTGAATGGATTAGATTATGTAGGTAATTTACGGAAGAGGATTAGGGCCACCAAAAAAAATTAAAAATAAAAAGAATTCTGAGATTTAAAGTCAGAATTCTTTTTTTTTTTTTTTTCAGTAGCCTTAATCCTCTTCTGTAGTAATTGATTAGACGCTCCCATTAATTTGAGTAATTAAAAACGAACCGGTGCTTGGTGGAGGCATTGTTTGGCAATGTTTGGTATGTTGACGAGAGGTTTTTGTTAATTATCTTTTCACCACTTTTTTGTACTTGAAACAGCAAATTTATTTTCATTTTTGGTTAAGTTGTAAGTCATTTTTGGTAATTATTTTGTCGTTATTTTTTACAAGAAATAAAGAATATAGTTTTTTAAGTCGGAAGTGCGTTCAAATCAAACCACCTGTTACCACCCACGGCCTTGGTTGGACTTTTGGTTTTTGGAACATAGAAGGCCGCGACAGAGTGAATGAGGTGATCCAGTAAATCCTCCCAAACAACATACAGTCCACAATAACGGTCCTTCAAGCAGATTACTATACCCATATCATCAAAATGGACACAATAAGAACACCAGTGATTATAGCTGGATGGCAACGGCACCTACCAGCCTACCTTCAGGGCAACCACATCAACTTTTCTCAGTCCCTCACATCTTGTCTTGCGCCACATAGAGTTGGCAAAATAAGTGCAAGTTCACAGCAGCAGCAGACCGGATCTGCTATTCAAGATGGTCAACTGCTTCCAACACTCGGGCTCTCACCCTGTCATCTCTCAGCAGAGCACTTCTAAACACAAGGTCACCGCAACACAAGTCAACTCAACCCCTACAACCTTAGAGAGCTTGCTAACTGGCTCAAAGTAAAGGCAGAAGCTTAAAGACGCTATGTGAAAATGGCACAATGCCAGTGGCCTAAAGGGTCCCATGTCTCCAGGAGAGAAAGACACACTCCAGCTTCCAAGCACTAAGTGCAGGCATGTTTGTTTGGCAGTCTGGAGCTGAAGGCGACTCGTCTGTTTTATTCTGCAATGGACAAACTGTAAACACTATGGACTGTGCTTCAGTATTAAAGTCACGGTAGCTGTCCTGTGTCGGTGTGATCCGAGGTGATCCAGTAAATCCTCCCAAACAACAGACAGTCCTCCCCCTCTACAGTAAAACTCAGGAGCCAGAAAACCAAACATCTTTTCTGTCAGTTGTCCCATGAACAAGTTTGCGACTTCTTATGTGTGCGTAGTGGAGTAAGTTGATCTACTGAGAGACAGTAGAGGACTGAGTTCTCTACTGCCACGACTCTCGACTGCATGTTTATACTTCAAGCTTACAAAGTTAGGCATAGTGATTAAATGCGATTGATCACAGCGCTAGAGTGTGATCAGTCTGATTAAATTCTTAACTTAAGACGTTTGTTGAAACTCTATTTATATTTACAGCCTACCATCCAGTCTGTTGTTCAGGTAAACACTGAGCTNTTAAAGCTGCTTTTCTCTTGGGATCTTTTGTTTTGCTTGCAAACCCAAATGAGTCAATCCACAAATGGTAACCAGGGTGAGATAAGGTTTGCGATGCAAACTTAAGCCCACAAAGTACTTCAAACAGCCACAAAACACAACAAATTGCACACCGAATTAAATTACATTTATTGTTCAATATACCAAAAAAAGACATTCTCAGAATATTTGACTTAGAGGCAACAATGGCAATGGCATCAACTTAAAGACTTGTTGAGCGGATGAAAATCTGCAGTAAAATAAAACTGAAAACAATAAAACATGTCTGTCTCTATTGATTTAAGCGTTAGTGTTCATGGACAATGTTGCTATAGCAACCTGACTCAGATCCAGAAGACTGTTGTCTCTCATTCACTGTTTTTAGTGTTTTTAAAGGTACGAGCACTTTTATTTTTAAATTATTTTATTATTTAACGTTTTTATTTCAGTTTTATCATTACTTCCATTTGGTATTTTGTTGAAGTACTGCCAGTATTATGTTGTTTGTGTTGTATTTTTATTGTTGTTGAACAGTCTGTAAAAAATAAACACAAAAAACCAACGGATCATACTCGAATGCTCAAGGCTAAAATACGTCTTCTGTTGCAGATTGTGTTTTGTTGTGGCTTTTGCTGCTCTGTTGTGCCTTGTTCTTTGGCTTGGGTTGGGTTGGGTTGGGTTGTTCGTACAGCGTCACTTCAGGCTGCAGTGTGAACGCAGTCTATGTTGTAGCAAAGTGAAGACGACTGTTTGGTCCAAAGCCTTGAGTTTATCCTTCAGTTTTATGACTTCACTTAGAGTTAGCATTGGTATCCTGTCGTTTGGGAACGGGAGAGTGGTAGGTAACGGGAATATGTGGGATTTTGGGGTTAATCAGCTCAGAATTATCATTTTTTTAATCCTTTTCCTGCAACCTGATTGCTTCCTCTTTGTTAATTCATATTTTACATGACTAATGAAAGCAGCACAAAAGTACAAATTTTCAATTGGAATATTTGAGGTTTAAATTTTGCTGTCACAGGATTAAGGGAAGTCGGCAAATCCAATCTGTCACTTCGGGATTAGAGCTTGGTTCTAAGGACTTAGTCGATTGAGCTAGCGTGCAAAGCGGGCTGGGCCCGCAGAACCATCAGTAGCTACGTTTTGTAGCATGCTGCTCATTTGTACGACTTCAGTAAACAAACTCGCCAGATTAGCAGAACGAGTTTCTCTGTGTTGTGAAGGGCTGGTGCAGGTGAGCACAGGATCCTGTACTCTTAGGATGCATCAAGGTGGCCATTGAGGGATTAAATTAATTTTCATAAAAACCCCAACAAACATAACACTGCCCCACTGAAGAGGAATGATGTCGAATAAATCTCCTTGCACAGTATCGTCAGCAAATAACATGTTGGGAAATTAAGAACTTCTAGTCAGTTTCCATCTTGTTCCTGTGCTTCCCTATGAATGTGAGAAACAAATCAATCATATTTAGCTTACACATATTAAAAGACATAATGGATAAGTGCCAATGTTGGAACGTCTTAAAGAAGCTGCAACACTGACTCGCTGGTCAAATCTGTATCGAAAACCTTTAAGTAAAATACATCCCAACTCAAAACAATTAACTCTCAGTAGGGGGTGTGCTGTGGTGGCGCAGTGGTTAAGCACAACCCACATATGGAAGCCTCAGTCCTCGATGTGGCTGTTGCAGGTTCAATTCCTGACCTGGTGACCTTTACTGCATGTCCTCCCTCTCTCTTGTTACCCACCTTCCTGTCAACTAACTATCAAATAAAGGCCACTAGGTATAATAAAACCTTTTTTAAAAAAACTCTCAGTAGCCATTTTTAGGATAAGGCTTTTTATTTTTAATTAATCATATTATTTCAGAATCACGTCACATACTGTATATTGAACTTTGGAACTCTATCTGGAATTACTTGTTGAATGTGTAAATACTTTGTAGCTTTTTTGTCATTTTCAGGGCAAAAATCATGGAATGATGTTCAAAACTACAAATCTACAAAACATAAAAACAAGCAAGACAACCACCAGATGTGTCAATACAGTTATTTAGAAAGTTTATCAATTTGACTGTTTTAAAGTGAAACATTTAATTGTTGTGTTTAAAACAAAAAGTGTATTTTTTATTCGTTAATTATAAGCAAGATTATTACTTTAATAAATAAAAAAAAGCCCCACACAATTCCACTTAGATTGTGGAGAAAGAGAGCAACTTTTTTAAATGTTTAGAGATTTCCTTCATTTTTAAGCCATATATAAATGGATTAAACAAAGGTTGATACAAAAATATTTGCAAAGTCATTACAAAGCGAGCAGGTTTTGGAAAATCTGATTCCACTCGAGCTATGACCACGTCGTATGTAGACAAATAGGAGAAGCTGATTAAAACCAGCAGATGCGGCACACACGTCTCAGCAGCCTTTCTTCTAAATGCTTTTGAACTTTTATAGGAGATTATTAAAATCTTTGTATATGTAAATATTGTGAACAGCACAGGGAGCATTGCAAGATTTAGCAATGAAAAAATCCCAAATATTGTAAGCGCTCTGGATTTCACACAGTGAAGAGTAAAAATGCCATTGTTACAGAATATTCCATCCAATTCTGAATGACATAATTGAACTTTGCTGATCAGTATCGCTTCTCCTGCAATGTGACAAGCAGGTACAAAATAGGCCAGAACCAGGAGAGACGTCACCGTAGATTTCCTCATGATGGTTGGATATCTCAGAGGTTTACATATTGACACATATCTGTCAAAGGCCATGACTGCTAACAGAAAGAATTCAGTACCAGCTACAGAATAAAACATAAACAACTGAATAATGCAGGATGAATATGTTATGATCTGTTTTTCAGATAAAAAGTCGATCAAAAGCTTTGGGTAAATAGTCGTACTGTAAACAACAGAGTTAAACAGCAAAGCAGCAATGAAGATGTACATCGGCTCATGGAGGTTTTTGTGAAAACAGATAATATAAAAGACAGTTCCGTTACAGAGGAATATTAAAATATAAACCATCAACATCACAGTAAAATACAGATATTTCAACCTATTCATTTCTACATAACCATTTAACGTTATGTAGGTGATATTTACCTCGTCCATAAATCTTTTCCGATGTTCATTCAGTTAAGTAAATAGCTAAAGAGCAGATGCATATTTTCCCAAGAAGTAAAATTTGCCAACTGAATGATCTGGGTTGGTGCAAAGGATTTTATCTGTTTGCCTTATCCTACAAGGATCACATCTCTGGAGCTTTCTATCCAGCTCAGAGTAACCACTCTGGACACACTATAAGTCGCACCTACAATTTATTTATTTATTTTTTTAAACTGGAAAACGTACATTTATGAACCGCTGGTATCTCCACCGCTCTCGGTTTTCCATAAGAACCCAGCAGAGGGCAGCGTTCTAATAGATCTTCTGGATCTATTAAGAACGCAGCCCTGTGTCTTCAAAGCCGAACTATGGTTTCATTCACGCCAAGCATACGTGCAGCACTTGCAGATTACGTTTCCAATTTTGACTACCATTGATTCACTTCCTGCTAAAAAGCCCCCGGGTGGTTGAAGAATAATCCACACAAAAGCCGCACCGGGCTACAAGCCGCATGGTTCAAACGTAGGAAAAAAGTAGCGTCTTATAGTCCGAAAAATACATATTCTCTGTGAAATGAAAGTCAGAAGGTAATTTTTTTTATTCTCTGTCTCAAAATGAGATTCACAAGGGTGCATCTTTACGTGAGCAGCATTTAAGCCAATACTGTACCAAAAAATATTTTTTGCATTTAAAATGAAAAGCTTTGTAGCTCATTTATCTCATTCACTAATGTTAATTTGATAGAATAACTTACATTATCACGCTGTGATAAACAGTTGTAGTATGCTGACAACATGCTGGCTAATGTTAAAACAGCAAGATAAATACGGGTAACAATGGCAACCAGCGACATTTGACATTTCAAAAGCCGGCTGTCTCTTTCAGCCCATGCACTGTGATCACAAACAAGTGATCCCTCTATAAATGTGTAGCCATAAAGCAGACTGTTGAGACAGATTATTCTGCAATTGACAAACTGTAAACACTTTGGACTGTGCTTCAGTATTAAAGTCATGGTAGCTGCCCTTTGTCTGGCCTCGCTCTCTAAGTGTCAGTGTGTGTTGTGGCCATTTATGCTAATTTTGTGAATTATAATTTCTACTACAGTGTTTTCCGGACTATAAACCGCTACTTTTTTCCTAAGCTTTGAACCATGCAGCTTATAGCCCGGTGCAGCTGATATGTGGATTTTTCTTCAAACACCAGGGGGCTCTTTAGCAGGAAGTGAATCATTGGAAGTCAAAATTGGAAATAAAAGATGAAAGCGCCCATTAAAATGGAAATAGGTTTTGAGTAATAGATATTAGGATCCAATAGATGGCAGTAGTGCAGCAATAATGGAGATAATGAATGCAAGCTGCTGTTGAAATCTAAAGAAGAAGCAGAGGAAGAAGAAGAAAGCGCCCATTTTCATTTAGCCCATGCTAGTAGCAGATACGAAGGATCAGCACTTTTACTGTTAAAGTTACCGTTCGGAAACTACCGTAATCAGTTCAGTTAAATCTAAACTTGGCAACTTTTTCTTTTTCAACCCTAATAAATGTGATATTCAATTGACCTGTTATGACTCAAATTTTGGGTGTCCGCCCCCCTCTGCTGTGTGCTGCTGCATCGTTGTGGAAAACCTAGAGCGGCAGAGATATCTGAGGCTTATAGCCCGTTGCAGCTTAGTATGTTTACTGGTATGTTTACCAGTATGTTGACTGTTTTTTTTTTGTTTGTTTGTTTGTTTTTTTTTTTAATTTTGGGGTTGCGGCTAATAGTCCGGAAAATACGGTAATTGAGTTTTCTATTTTGGGAAGTTAGAATTTATTTAAGTTAGTCTAAATCGAAAATCTGTCATTAATTTGTATATTTGAATTGATTAGATTATGTTGGTAATTGGTTAGACCCTACCATTAATTTGAGTAATAAAAACGCACCGGGTTCTTGGTGGATTCATTGTTTGGCAATGTTTGGTGTGTTGACGGGAGGTTTTTGTAAATTATTTTTTGACCACTTTTTTCTACTTGAAATATCAAATTTATTTTCATTTTTGGTTAAGTTGTAAGACATTTTTGGTAATTATTTTGTCGTTATTTTTTACAAGAAATAAAGAATATATTTTTCAAGTCGAAAGTGCGTTCAAATCAAACCATCTGTTACCACCCACGGCCTTGGTTGGACTTTTGGGTTTTGGAACATAGAAGGCCGCGACAGAGTGGATGAGGTGATCCAGTAAATCCCTCTCAAACATACAGTCCACAATAACGGTCCTTTGAGTAGATTACTATACCCATATCATAAAAATGGACACAATGAGAACACCAGTGATTACAGCTGGATGGCAACGGCACCTACCAGCCCTTCAGGGCAACCGCATCAACCTTTCTCAGTCCCTCACATCTTATCTTGCGCCACATAGAGTTGACAACCTAAGTGCACAGCAGCTGCAGACCGGATCTGCTATTCAAGATGGTCAACTGCTTCCAACACTCGGGCTCTCACCCTGTCATCTCTCAGCAGAGCACTTCTAAACACAAGGTCGCCGCAACACAAGTCAACTCAACCCCTACAACCTTAGAGACCTTGCTAACTGGCTCAACGTAAAGGCAGAAGCTTAAAGACGCTATGTGAAAATGGCACAATGCCAGTGGCCTAAAGGGTCCCATGTCTCCAGGAGAGAAAGACACACTCCAGCTTCCAAGCACTAAGTGCAGGCATGTTTGTTTGGCAGTCTGGAGCTGAAGACTGCCAGACTCGTCTGTTTTACACAGATTATTCTGCAATGGACAAACTGTAAACACTTTGGACTTCAGTATTAAAGTCACGGTAGCTGTCCTGTGTCGGTGTGATCCGAGGTGATCCAGTAAATCCTCCCAAACAACAGACAGTCCTCCCCCTCTACAGTAAAACTCAGGAGCCAGAAAACCAAACATCTTTTCTGTCAGTTGTCCCATGAACAAGTTTGCGACTTCTTATGTGTGCGTAGTGGAGTAAGTTGATCTACTGAGAGACAGTAGAGGACTGAGTTCTCTACTGTCACGACTCTCGACTGCATGTTTATGTTTCAATCTTACTAAGTTAGGCATAGTGATTAACTGCGATTGATCACAGTGCTAGAATGTGATCAGTCTGATTAAATTCTTCAGATGTTTGTTGAAACTATATTTATATTTACAGCCTACCATCCAGTCTGTTGTTCTGGTTAACACTGAGCTGTATATATTATCCAGATGTTTTCACCCAGATGACATGTTAGAAATTTATTTTCTGTTATTATCCAGTTAATATTTATAAAGTTTAAATTGAAAATTAGTGAATCTTATTTCAGTTTCACTTAGAAAAAATAAAAATTTCCTATCTCTGTAATGGACATTAAATCATTTTTGCCCAACTTTTCCCAGATCAATAAATTAAAGGTAAATTGTAACGCAGGTTATTTGTGTGTAAAAATGAGGTCATTTTAATCATAAAACATATTTCTAACTGTACAATGTGATGATGATGATAGTCATGAACACAAAACAGCACTGACTTTCTCACAAACTGTCAACTCATTACAAACAATGTAGTAAAAATTGTCACTTTTTAAAAATTGTAAATTAATTGTTATATGGAGAGCAAACAAAGTCAAATTTTAACCCCAGATAAAACTAGAGGTAGATGTGATACATGAAAAAAAAGCACAATTCCACTCAGATTTTGGACAAAGAGAGCAACTGTTTTAAATGTTTAGAGATTTCCTTCATTTTTAAGCCATATATAAATGGATTAAACAAAGGTTGAATCACAAGTAACTGCAAAGCCAATACAAAGCGAGCAGGTTTTGGAAAATCTGATTCCACTCGAGCTATGACTACCTCAAAAATAGACAAATAGGAAAAGTTGATTAAAACCAGCAGATGCGGCACACACGTCTCAGCAGCCTTTCTTCTAAATGTTTTTGAACTTTTATAGGAGATTATTAAAATTTTTGTATATGTAAATATTGTAAAGACCACAGGAATCATTGCAAGATTTAGCAACGAAAAAATCCCAAATATTGTAAGCGCTCTGGATTTCACACAGTGAAGAGTAAAAATGACATTGTTACAGAATATTCCATCCAAATCTGAATGACATAATTGAACTTCACTGATCAGTATCGCTTCTCCTCCAATGTGAGAAGCAGGTACCAAACAGGCCAGAACCAGGAGAGATGTCACCGTAGTTTTCCTCATGATGGTTGGATATCTCAGAGGTTTACATATTGACACATATCTGTCAAAGGCCATGACTGCTAACAGAAAGAATTCAGTACCAGCTAGAGAATAAAAGATAAACAACTGAATAATGCAGGATGAATATTTTATGATCTGTCTTTCAGATAAAAAGTCAATCAAAAGCTTTGGGTAAACAGTCGTACTGTAAACAATAGAGTTAAACTGCAAAGCAGCAATGAAGATGTACATCGGCTCATGGAGGTTTTTGTGAAAACAGATAATATAAACGATTGTTCCATTACTGCAGCATATTACAATATAGAACATCAACATCACAGTGAAATACAAATACTTTAGTTTGTTCATTTCTACATAACCAGTTAACGTTATGTAGGTGATATTTACCTCGTCCATAAATGTTTACCAATGTTCATTTGGTCAGACAAATGGCTTAAACGTCTTGCACAAACACAATTCACAGACTGCATCGTCTCAGTTTGCGTAAATGTTTTTATCAGTTTGCATTAGGGATCACGCCTCTGGAGGCCTTCATTGCTGTTCAAGTTCTTCAACTAATTTACCAACTTAAATAACTCAAACTCACAAAGTTAAACACATCTAAGGTAAAGCAGACTTAAAAGAAATGTTGCTTGTGTGTTTTCAAATAAGTAAATTAGATTTGAATTCTCTGTGTCCTGAAATGAACACACTATGCATAAACCAGCCTAGTGTGGGACTGGTTTACCCAGTTCAAAGGGAGAGTACTATGGACACTAGGCCTTTAGTATATTTGTGTTCATATTGGCTCATCATAAAATAAACAGGTCCACTGTGAGGTTGACTTGAACGTAAAGTAATTCAGCTCATCATCAATCGCGCCACTGACATGGATGCAGAAATAAACTGACAAAGTTTAAAAGATCAGCTGATCACCAATCTAGAACCTGGTAGTGTGTAGAGGAAACAGAACAATAGTAGGAAACAGCAACTCACACAAAATAAAGTATACG